TAGTGTGTGTGAGAGCTAAAATTTCAGTAGTGTGTGTGAGAGATAAAATTTCAGTAGTGTGTGTGAGAGCGTTTCAGTAGTGTGTGTGAGAGCATTTCAGTAGTGTGTGTGAGAGCATTTCAGTAGTGTGTGTGAGAGCTAAAATATCAGTAGTGTGTGTGAGAGCGTTTCAGTAGTGTGTGTGAGAGCGTTTCAGTAGTGTGTGTGAGAGCATTTCAGTAGTGTGTGTGAGAGCTAAAATATCAGTAGTGTGTGTGAGAGCTAAAATTTCAGTAGTGTGTGTGAGAGCTAAAATTTCAGTAGTGTGTGTGAGAGATAAAATTTCAGTAGTGTGTGTGAGAACGTTTCAGGAATAATGTCCCTTACGGCACCTCATAGTTTACCATGCACCTGTTTGCTACTGAATTCTCATAGTCAAACCAGTACTTTTGGTTTGGGAACAAGTAGTCCTGTAAGATAAAAGTGCCAGTGAAAAAGATGTTTATATTTATATTTTGTGCATGAAACAAAGGCAGACACAATCATTTTAATATTATATACTATATTAGAATATACAGTTCTTCACAGTTTGCATGCCAGCTAAATACAGTGCAAATCTACTGATCTAATTTTAAAAATAGCATCTGTAAAGTGATTATTGGACTTTGTTAAAATGGCACCAAACAAATAGCTAAGGATTTCACAAACACTGGCAAAACAGTTTTTGTTGTTTTTGCCATTTACAGTGATGTTCAGACTAACAGGACAAACTAAAAGCAGCATCACTCTGCAGTGGATTAAGATCAGCAACAATGTCGGCTTTATTCTCCAGTTTAATGGTACAGAGACAAACATCAGTGCACCAGCTGGAAATGGACCAGTAATTCACACTGTCTCATCTCTCACTGCTGGAACTCAATACACATTCACTCTCTACTCTGTGTTTGAGAACGTCAGAAGCAGTGGAGTCAGCATTACTGCAGTCACTGGTATGATACTACATTTCTTGCTCACTGTATCCCCCCATTATAATATCTGCTTATATATGTGTGTGTTTATATATATATATATGGAACAGTAGACAGTATGTGCAAATATTTACCTGAGATTACAACGATAAATGTCAAGAAGTGTACTCTTTTTTACCAGCAGTGATGATCACACTTTATGGCAAAAGGGTTTGTGTTATAATACTGGTGGCTCTGGTTTAATAGACAGTGCCGATGAAATGCATCTACCAAACGTCTTATCAATAAAACAATAAAAACAACAGAAAGAAAATAGAAATTAAGATGAAAAAAGTTATTTTACATTATTATGTTTATGTCTATATCCAAACAACTTCTGATTTTTTTTATTTTTTCCTGAACAAGAACGAATCCAACAATATACTATGTTTTTCTAGAGGTGTTCTGTCTTTGTACATTGCCATACCCAATGAAATTGTGTCTGGTATAGCTTTATAACTTGCCAGGAGTTATATATGTTCAGATTAACCAGTTATAGAGTGTTAATATGAAGTGTTTCTTCAGAGTAAGACGTGCAGCTCAGACTGCTTTCTAATCCTCGTCTGTAATTTTATTTTCCAACTCTTTGTTACATGTATTTATTTTATATGGCTATATAAAGATGATAAAAAAAATTCTATAGGTGTTTGTGGGAGCTTAAATTATTGAATTGAAGTAGTGAATTGTGTTATCTTAGTTGTCTTCTGAGGTGGGGATATTTAAATAAATAGTTTGTTTTCAGTTCTCATTTTTTCAAAGGACATGATGATAAGAGTGTGGATTTTTGAATCTTTTAAAACCTTTAAGAAGCCAAAACTTAAAATGTACCATCTGCTGAGTTAAGCTGCAGCTTGGAAATTTTTGAAAAAGATAAAGTAATGTAACAACTTTATCTTTAAATAGTTGATTTAATTTAAAAGACTGGTAATAGGACATTTTTCTTAGTCATGGGGTCAGCAACAATTTTGGTCTTAAATATACTTATTTTTCACTGACTGAACTTGCTATGAATAATTTTCTTTCTCAGCTCCTCTAAACACAGACAGCTTCATGTCAATTGCACAAACTGAGAGCAGCATCACTCTGCAGTGGAATAAAGTCAACAACAATGTCAGCTTTGTTCTCCAGTTTAATGGTACGGAGACAAGCATCAGTGCACCAGCTGGAAATGGACCAGTAACTTACACAGTCTCATCTCTCACTGCTGGAACTCAATACACATTCACCCTTTACGCTGTGTTTGAGAACGTCAGAAGCAGTGGAGTCAGCATTACTGCAGTCACTGGTGAGTTATTATATTCACACAATTTAATTTTTTATTTCACAAAAACCTAAGATAAAATACAAAAAAGGCTTTTAGAACCACCTTTAGCAGCAATAACTAATAATTTTATCTATAATGGCAAATAAATTTTGTTTTGGGCTTTTCTTTTTAAATTTCAATTTAAGCAGTGTTTCAATTTAAGATGCCAGGAACCTGAACTGAATATGCCTTTTTTATTTAAATGTAGTTTGTTATCTGAATCAAACATCTCATTACTGAGAGGGTGCTGGTGCTGAACGTAACACTGATCATAGTGCCATCTAGTGGGAACACAAAATTAAACATTTAACACTTCCCTACACAGATCCAATCAGGTTGACCAGAGCCATCTAAAATTTGATCAGGAAAGCCTTAAGAAGATGGTGTAACTGTATTGTGAGTTTTTATGAAAAGGCACTCTGTCAACATGGTGAAGTTTTGTGTGTCCCCATAAAGAAGGAAATTCCTGTAAAGTATGGGTATTATAGGCTACAAACTGTCTGAAAACAGTCCCAACATGACCACATCTTTAAGCCAATAGTAAGGGATACTTAGAGCACCAAATAGTGGGAACAGGAAATGTCATGTTTTGTACTTTGACATACTCTTCCTCACAGGCTGAGCAAATCCACGTGAAAAGAGGTCTGAATAAACTTTAGACCATAATGATTCTGTCGTGTGAAAACTGTGAGGCTTCATTTCACAGTCAGTCAGGATAGTGAGGACATTTTCCATGATCAGGAAATTGCTGAGGGGCTTGGAAAGCTTAAAAAATCTTGAAAATTAGACTCACCTCAGTCATGATGAAAACTTATGAAGCTCATGTGGAAATTTATCAAGACAATTTGTAATCACTCATCTTCCTGCTTTCCTGGGTGTGCAGTTGGTTTTCTGTTCATTACATGATAACCACTTTCCCGTGTTGTCAGTCTCAATACTGACATCAAGTCCAATCATCTTCTAGCCCACCTTCTCTGATCCAATCAGCGTCTGCTTTGTGTGGTTTAAATCTGTGCTCACCACCATGCACCCCTTTAGACTCTCTTTCATGCAACCCACCTCCTCCCCATCTTCACCTCAGACACCTCAGCCAGAACTCTATTCAAATCTCAGTCTTCATCTTCACCACCACCAGTGCCTGGAGGAGGGTCTTGTCCTAAATCCTGTCATCACCGGGATTCTGTTCTACCATGATTGGTAATCAGAGCATAATAGGCAAATACATTGATTTCTCTATCTCAATAAATCAAGTTTAGTTCTTCAAATTGATCTTTACTAATTAAAATACTTCATAGTTTTTGTTCATGCATGTGGCAAAATTCCTCTTTAGCCCCAACTGCAGTATTTAAATGAAGCAACCCAAGTGATACGTTTCATCCACATGTATGAAAATTGTCGTCCACCCAAACCAATCCGAAGGTTCATTGTTCAAGTCCTGCTAAAGGGACGCAAGCTAAAGGGTTCTTGGGCAAGAACACTTCAGCATGTGTCCAATGCATCCACCAGGGTGTGATTGTTTATGTGATAGTTAGCAAAGTAACTCAAGCATAGAATACAGTGCTGTATCAATAAAGATGATTTGGCTTGTAATACAAAGTGCTTGTTTGTCCTGCAGGTGTTGACTGCATAAATTCCCAGTGCTTTGATCCCTGTCAGAACTATACTGCTCTGAATGATGATTGGCGGTCAACAAATAATACAAACATTCAGGACCTACACTGTGATCGTAATATTGACTGGCAAGGCTGGTATCGCCTGTTTCTCGGGCAATCCAGTGCTCGTATTCCAGAGAGGTGCATAGACTCAAACAGGTGTGGGACCCATGCATCTTTGTGGATAACACAACCTCATCCCACACAGGTTGGTGAAATTGTGAATCGCACTGTGTGCAATACTTGGCTTGGCAGTTGCTGCTATTTTAACTCACACACGATCAAAGTCAAACTCTGCTATGGAAACTACTATGTCTACAAACTTGAAAAGCCAGTCACGTGCTATCTTGCATACTGTGCAGGTATTGTTATACTTTAAGTATTACTAAAATATACCAAATTCATATTTATTGAGGTTTCCTTAAATTCACATGTTCAAAACAATTGCTCCACAATGAATGCAGAAATTGTATTTATTTTTTACTTTAAATAGAGGCGAATGGAACAGACCCTGAAGTTCCTTCAACCACAATGTCTCCAGGTATTCACCTGATTGACTCTTGATAAAAATAGTAAGACTTCAAAAACATCACATTCTACCTTAATTGACATGATTACTTTATTTTTCTCATTTGTTCGTTTAGCTCCTTCAAATGCACAAAACCTCATATCATCAGGACAAAATGAAACCAGCATCACTCTGCAGTGGAATAAAGTCAACAACAATGTCAGCTTTGTT